GTGCAAAAGAGTAATGTAATTTTACCTACAGTGGTAATAATATGTAAATGTCCAAGGGAAAATATTTTAAAAACTCAGTTTTAGCACATATTCTTACAAAAAAAAAACTAGTTTTAAGTTTAATGTAATACTGCCAAATTATTAAAAATCATCTTAGTAAAAATGTGTTTGCTACAGAATTGCCAACACCTTATTGAACTACAAGACATTAAATATTGCAGTTGTTGTTAAGGGTGTTGTGTGAGTCTGCCTCTCCGGTCTACGTGTGTTTTGTAGACCTGGAGAAGGTTTATGACCGTTTTCCTTGAGGCATTCTGTGGGGTGTGCTACGGGAGTGTCTGGGTTGCTGTTAAGARCAATCCAGTCCCTGGAGAACCAAAGCAGGAGAAGTGTCCACATTCTTGGCACCAAGTTGAGCTTGTTCTCAGCGTGGGTTGGACTGCAGGACTGTCCCCTGTTTCTAATCCTGTTTGTAGTGTTTATGGTCTGGTCTGTCTACATTCCAACCCTCACCTATGGTCATGAGGAGTGGATCGTGACCAAAAAAWGTTCCCAGGTACAAGCGGCTTAAATGAGCTTCCTCCGTAGGATGGCCGGGCTCAGCCTTAGAGATGGGGTGAGGAGCTCTGTCATCTGGGGGGAGCTCAGAGGAGAGCCGCTGCTCCTCCACATTGAAAGGAGTCAGTTGAGGTGGTTCATCTGATTTGGATGCCTCCTGGACGTCTCTCTTTAGAGGTGCATGTCCCACTGGTAGGAGGCCCAGGGGAAGGCCCAGGACTCGGTGGAAAGATTTTGTATCCTCTCCGGTCTGGGAATGCGTCAGGATAAGCTGAAGAGTGTCGGTAGGGAGAGGATGTCTGGGTTTGRGTTTCTCTCCTGGAACTGTTGCCTCCATGACTGGACTAAGGATCGGCAGGGCTGCCCATACTATGATACATTTTGCTGTAATATTTGATCATAAGATATAACAGTCCACCCATGCCTGGGCGAGAGAACAGTTTAGCACTGAGAAGATACGCTGTCAGTTCACCATGTATCGCTACAAAGCACACCGTAAAAAAAAAAAAAAAAAAAACATGGTAGACAAGGCTTATTTTGAAATTTTATTTAAACTGAGAATCAGAGTTTTTCATAATTAAGCATTGTCTAAAAATCTTCTAAACACTTCTGAAATAAAAACAAAACTTGCAAGTAATTTTCTGACAAAAATATAGCAAAAACATTAACAGTAAATTCAAGATAGCATAATTATAAAAAGGTACATTCATTTAAAAAAAATCTTATAACCTGTTTTCAGTTTTGAGGGGTGAGCGGCTGCGGGTCCCCCTGAGTGTGATTGTTTATGACCCGCAGCGCCGCACCGTCCCTTTTCATTCACATCCTCGGACAGGAACGTATTTCTCAGCAGACAACACCTTGAAAGAGTTGAAAGGCAGCCGACCAACATCCTGTTTGACCTCCATCCTAAAGACATTCACAACCCAAAGTGTCTCATCTGCTCCAAACACAAGAATATGAACAAATAATACGAGGCAGAACTTAATTACCTGCATGAACTATTAAAAACCYAACGTAGAACCTGTAAAACTTTCAAAAGCTGCGTTTTTTTGTTTCTGTTCTGAAACAGGAAGTGAATATTGTTCCTGCAAAGCACCTTCTTTAGTGTTTTATGTTCAAAATTGTACATATAATAAATGTGCGTTGGGTTTTTACAGCTTCACAAAAAAAGGAACATTTAAAACAATTGAATAAAAAAAATTCTGCCTTTTTTATCTTGTCAAAACAGGAAAACAGGACTCCACTGTGTCACTAATACATTTAATCCTGCATAACAGATTTAAAATAACTGGAATCATTGATTAACATTTCCATCCTCTTTTATGAAACATCTCACAGTAATAAAACGAGCACTGAAAAAAGCGTCTGACACAAAGCTGATTTCCGGCCGATATGCAGCGGTGACGCCAAAAAATAAATCTTTGGTTCGTTTTGTTTGCCTTTTTTTTTAAAAGAAAGTTAAACTGATTGTGTCTCTTCTCGTCCCACATGATTGAATCCTCCGCAGAGTCCTCTGATTAAACACAGCAGCATGAAAACGTTCGTGCACCCAAACCAAAATAAATCCTCTGCAATCATTTCTGTCCTCGATGAAGTCGTAAAATATTACACAATACCAAAATGTAGAGTTATAAAATCTGAACGTTTTGTAATGTATTTTCTCGTTGATAAGGCAGAGAGAAAAATAGTGAATGCACATTTACACACAGCTGCACCTGTTGCAACACAGACCTCTAATCAATATAATATACTGTATTTATATCCTATTATTTTCACCTACATTTACAGACATCTGCTTGCAACAGCTTATGAGGAACTCTGAGAAAGGATCGTTTGGTAAAAAAATGCATATTATTGATTATTAATCAATTATTCACTCCTTGAAGCTTCTGCTGGGGCTTCCAYGGAATTTGAACCCACAACCCTCTGCAGGTCAAGGCCACTAATGTGCAAGGCTTAGTTTGAAGGAGCACCTCAGCTGGACTTCAGCTGATCTCCAGCGTCACGTCTCGTCTTTGGTCCGATGCGTTCTGATTATTTCTCCTTTCGTTTCAGTCAGAGATCAGCCGAGAGACTAAAACAAATAAACTCAATCAGCAAACAACTCTTTGGGTTAATAGCTTCAGGGTCACCGCTGCAAATTGGCTTTTTTTTTTATATATGAATTTATATAAACACTGTGTGGCAGACATGTGCTAATCTCTACTCTACGGAGGAGGAAAAAAAACCTACAAACTAGAGCGTGTTCCTCTGAAGTACATTATATTCTAAGAAAAATAGATTTGTTTTCAGAGGTAAAATGTTTCACTGTGTCCGTTCTTCACTTCAGTCTCTGATTAAACATTCTTCATGTGTCGTTTCCTCACGTGGAGCCGCTCCCTCGCACAGGTCAGGGTCTGCTTTCCCCGTTTGAGGGACGCTTTTCCACGTTAAGGCCAAATCGTAAAGCTTTTCTGTTCAGACATGCCACTGTAAGCACTTCTGGTGTGAATGTTTTTACAAAAACCACGACCTTAGGAGCTTATAAAAACAGACTTTGTGGGAATAGAGGGGGATGGGGGGAGTTTCATCAGCTGGGGAAGGCAGCGCTAACGTCTGAGCTACCGGCACCCAACTTCAGAAATACATTCATTGTGTTTTCAGCATTTTCTACGTGGCAATCACAACARTTTAGCACAGAGAAGATACCCTGTCAGTTCACCATGTATCGCTACATGACTTTTCAAATGTGCTAAACCTTGTTCCCTGAGTTTAGGAAGAAAAATTAAGAGTTACATTAATAAAAGTAACTTTTAAACGAGGTAGTATAAAACAGGATTAGCAAGGGCATCTGCACACCGGCACACAAAACACAACACATTTCTTTCATACCATCACTCAACAATGGAACAAATTAACAAAAATAATATTATTAATACTGGCTCAGTACCTCAGCAACACCTGAGGAGTTAAATAACACAGAGTGTGTGTTTTAATCCTTCATCCCACACAACTGGTGGAGCGAGAGGAGGAAGCTGCAGCGCCGCCCTTACCATCCACAAAACATCAAACAAAGAGGACGTGACAAATGAGAAAAACAAAACAAACAGTCATCAGGAAGTTTAACACGTGACGCAGGGGAAGCAGCCCGTCACGTAACACAAGTAGTTATTAAATATTCAGAGGGAGGTAYGCCCGGAGGCAAACCGAGGTAGATCATCAGCAAAAAGGACTTGTGCTTTCCCTTCTGCTCCAGTGATAAACTCTCATAAATAATGTCAATAATGTCACTTTTTTCCCCCTGACATTCATGACAATCTTCTTTAAACATTCACGGTGGGTGAGATTTTTTTCTTTCAAAATATACACTGAAAAAAAAAAGGCAAAAAAAAAAGAAAAGAATTAAAAAAATAAAAAATTCTCAGCCAACACTTGGCTTCCTCTGTGGTGTAATGAAGCAAAAGATGAGAAATATTTCTCTCTCTGCTCTTTTACACCTTACAAAACTCTCACGCTCACTCACGCCTGCAGTGCACTTGCAATGGAAAATAATTACAGCAGGATTCTGTGGGTCATTTTGAGCAGAATTTGGTCCTCATAGCGTCTACAAATGGACAGAAACAAACCCAGAGGTGATGAAATTTACCTATCTTTGTGCAGTTTTCTTTACATTATACAAAAAGTAATGTGTGAGCTGATATTTTGCAAATAAATTAGGTGAGACTCGAGCAGCACTTGTTACACCTCCTCCTAAATGAGCCCCCTCTTTAAGGATCACTTTAGAGGAGTAAATGTAAGTTTCTGTACACTAACTCACTGCTGGCTCTAAGTTTGTTGTTAAAGGGAACCTTGACTATTTGTAATTAGATATTATGTGACAAACATTTACTTACTTACAAATACTGTAAGCTATTTTTAAAATCTTATAAAATTTATTGTCACACAGACAGCGCCATATTTATTACACGGCAGAGCATACTGGGTAAATGATGACATATACTACGTTCTCTGGTTCGATGCTCTATCCACCCTGAAGGTTAAGCTTGGACAATATCTGAAGTTCAGCCCTTTTAAATGAAACCAGAGCGCTTTCAATGAGGAGAATGTAGAAATGACTCAGCCTGAAACTGGAAATGCAGATTGAGGACAACAGAGCTGCTTCATGGAAGAAGAACCTCTGCTTAGCCTGTTAGCTTTCAAGTTAGCACCTGAGCTAATGTATGTAATTTGGTGACAGCGTTAGCTATATGTAAACTAATGCCACATATTTATTGGTAATATACTGTATATATGGCGTTAGTTCCCAATTTAACACTATTAGTTTGGGAACTAAYGCTATATCGCCAAATGTATACGTATTAGCTCGGGCGCTAACACAAAAGCTAACAGGCTAAGCTGAAGTTCTCCTTCCATGAAGCAGCTCTGGTGTCCTCATCTGTATTCTCAGTTAAAGGTTGAGTCATTTCTACATTCTCTTCTCTGTCAAGGCATACTGCTGTGGTTTCATTTAAAAGGGTTGAACATCACATATTGTCGAAGAGTAACCTTCAGGGTGGGTAGAGCTCACAGCCTCGCACTGGTGGAGAACCTAGTGAGCGTCATCATTTATCAGTTATGCTTTGCGGTGTAAATAATACGTTGCCATCCATGTAACAATATAGTTTGTTTTAAATATATAAAAACTAAACGACCTACAGTATTTTTACAGTCTTTGTTTTACAGTTGAAGCAAAGTTTTATTAAATAATGTCAAATGTCACAAGTAGTCGAGGTTCCCTTTAAGAAACGATGAAAGTGTGAAACCATCCTTCTAATCTAGTTTATGCATCCTAAAGTTCAGCTATGCCTGCTGTTTTTCTCCTTCAGTAAATCTAAACTTTTATGCACTGCCTTCATTCCCTCACACACACACACACACACACACACACACACACACACACACAC